TGAGTATCATACAGTGAACTAATTGAAACTCTCAAACATAGAACTAAGTTTAAGTTAGAAAAGGTTATAGGTCGCAGCTTTGATATCATAGTAAATAATATTCAAATCAGGTTGGCTGCATAATTATGCCAGGTCTGGTCGGCTTCAAGTCAGCTCGGACCATACCGACTCGGCCCTTGTCAATTCGGTCCTTAACCAACTCGGCCCATACACCAATTTGGCCCATCCGACTTTGCCCTTGAACCTAGGTCTATCTCTAGTTGCATACCTCTATAGAGTACTGTATATAATTTGTGGAAAGAAATGTTACAAATAAATTCCCATGGTACTCTTGAAGTTTATTAATAAATATTACAGTATCACTTTGTGTTATTTTTCTTTTTTTACAGAACAAACAACGCAAATGTTACTGGTTGAATGTTTTGAGACACGCCCTTTCTATCGTTTGTTGCGTTACCATTAATTATGATATGTATTTTAATCATGTTTATAAATGTTTAAATAAAATGGAGATTTATGAAATAAGTATCAATAGTTGTCATACGTTTGTGTTATTGTTTGTTACGTTTCCATTTACCATAAAAGTTCTGATCATGTTTCTAATTCTGTACAAGTAAATTCATACTAAATGATATGATGAATGAAAATAAAGGAAATATATAGTATTTTCATAATTACCATATAAAATTATCAATATGTTTAATTATAAGAGTACATTTTAATGGCCATTTTATCAGGCTTCTTTTATATTCATAAGCCCGACAAAATCACTCACCGGGCTATTCTATATATTTATTTATTCCAAACCAACAACGAATCATCGCTATTAACAGACAGGTATAAAAATCTAGCAAAAATCACAAACATCCGTTGCATAACTAGTATAATTTGTGGAAAGACGTCCGCAAATACGGAGATTCTCACGTAACGGTAGTCTTGAGGTAAAGCAGACACAATGTTTGTGTTTCTTATTTTTGGAACATAGGGCCTATTCTGATTTTTATAAAATACACAAATTAAAAATGAAATATATAAAGTAAGACCCGTCATTGTGATTCAATACTTCGATAAATAGTTCTAATATAATTTATAAATAATGTTAATGGCCGTTTTGTACTCTTTATAGGCCTGTTTAATAAGCCGGAAAATGCACTACTCCGATGCTAGTTGCCTGGAAACTTAAGTATAAAATCGGAAAGAAACTTTCCCACAAACAGGCTCCGGCACAGTATTCTTGATGATGAAGCAGACGCAACATCTTTGTACGGAATTCATTTGTACGCCGCCTTCAGGAATGTGGACGCACTCCACTAAGACAGAAGTAGGCAGATGTTAAAAATAGATGGCAGTAAGGTGTATTATATATAAATACGTATAAACTAGCTTTCTGATTGAACGGGGAAACAGAAATTTAAGAGATGGTCAGGATCCTAAAAAGCATTTGAAAGGTCCAAAAATCAATAACAAGAATGTATTTGTGATTCGAAAGATAATAGGATCATCTTTGAGGATCTCAAAGACGGCATGCGGGATTAATATTTTATTATATATATTTAGTCCGGTTTAATTTGTGCGTTTCCATCCGGCGTTGGGCCCACGATTGTATAACGTAAAACATTGAAAACATTACTATGTGGATACATAGTACCATAACATTTACAATAACAACGCCAATAATTAATACATGGTAGAAGCGTCCTTGTTGCGACCCTGGTTAACGCTAATTCTACCACCAACCTGTGGACAAATGACAAGATTAACAAATAACATTAAAATACGTCAAAAGGCTACAATAATTACATTAAAATTAAAACAAAGTAAATTAACATGCCTACATTACCGTACGTACTGCATGTTCGTGTATCTCCTTTATTTCTTTGTGGATAATAACATAAAACATTAATACATTCATGTGTGACGACAAATTAATATAATATAATTACGTGTATCTCCTTTATTTCTTTGTAGATAATAACATAAAACATTAATACATTCATGTGTGATGACAAATTAATATAATATAATTATAGTATTAAGATTTAATACATCATTAAAAGGCTTTCCCATTAAAATATATTCCAAAAGCGACTCGGTTCATGGGCCGAGTTGTTTCATGGGCCGAGTTGGTTAAGGGCCGCGTCGGTTAAGGACCGAGTTGACAATGGCCGATTTGGTGTATGGGCCGAGTTGGATAAAGGCCGAGTCGGTTAAGGGCCAAGTTGACAAGGGCCGAGTTGGTTGTGGGCCGAGTCATTTAAGGGCCGAGTTGACAAGGGCCGAGTTGGTGTATGGGCCGAGTCGGTTAGGGGCCGAGTTGGCAGTGGGCCGAGTCGGTATGGTCCGAGTTGGCGAAAGGCCGAGTTGACCTGCATCCGTCTGGCACTATGGAGCTGGATCAATGATACTTCGCGTTTTGAACCGACAATAGGAAAAAACGACCAGATTCGTGTAAAAAACGACCAAATTATGGTAAAAAATATTCAACTAAAGAAACTGGTAACTTTTTTGAACAGGTCGCTTTTACAGTAATTGAGAACCCGAAAACCGACTGTGCTTGACGAAAATCGACTATATTCTGTTAACCGACTGTGTCTGAAACCCGAGAATGCTTGAAAATCGACTGTGTTTGAAAGTTACCCTTTTGGCGTTCCATATAAAACCGCAAAAAGACACGCGGTCCAGTGAAAAACGGCTGTAAAATTCATTATTTTTCCCCACAATTAATCTGAAATATGGGTTGATATCACTTCGATGATCTATGTTGTTACAGTTTTCAGACCGGTAGGTTTCGAATCAGACGTTTATTTAGGCCCTCGGTTTTCAATTATGATTTAGGCTTTGAAATTAACGGTAATTATACCACTAATAGATTATTGCTATTGTTACGTTTATTGTTGATGTTACCATTGTTAATGTGATTATCTATAGTATTATTTAGTTTATTATTATTGATATTGTATTATTAGCTATTATTATTATTATCATTATTATTATTATTATTATTATCATTATTATTATTATTATTATTATTATTATTATTATTATTATTATTATCATTGTTATTATTATTATTATTATTAAATCTATCATTGATAAATAGATAGGCTTAATTATTTACCATAAAGTAATTAATTCTTTAGTAGTCGAATCCCTATTGATCCCTATTGTGACATACTGTATCTGAATTTATATATAGAGGTTCTTATAGAACTTGGTCAAAATGGAATTTGTTTAATTTCAGGAGTTGGCAAGACCAGCATTGTTGTACGGTATGTTGGGAAGATATTCAGTAATGCAGTTGCCCCAACCATAGGTGCTTCGTATTTTACTTTCAAAATGTAAGATATGTTAATTTATAAGTTGCCATCTATTTATAGAATATGTAAATCTACTGCGAATGTGATTATCGTTAAAACCAACATCATCATCATAAGTTCTACCATCAATTATTATGAATCATCATTATTATTACCGATATAAATTATTTTTGCCATGACCAATTGTTTGTTCTTTATTTATTATCAAATATTATTAGCACTATCAGCGGAATTATAATTATTAACAACAAAAATAGGCCAAAAAAAGATTGTCGCCCGAGCCCGACATATTTTTGTAGTATTTTCTTACCAATGGAGAAGCACAACAATAATAAACTTGATACCTCAAATATGAGCTCTGTAATGCCATTTTGGCAAATAAAATACATGGGTAACTGATGGTTGGAAAAGAACACTAGGCCTCAGTCCTGCTCTCTTTGTCATCCTCATCTATCTTCGTCCTTACAAAGATTATATATTGTTTCACTTTAGCAAATAATATTTCTTTTAAATTATTGAGAATTAATAATAGGCTATATTGATATATGTAAATGATGTGGTGTTATTTTGTGCTTAGGACTGTCGACAATTATAGAGTGAAACTGCAGTTATGGGACACGGCGGGGCAGGAGCGGTTCCGCTCAATGGCCCCAATGTACTACAGAAAAACCAACGCCGCTTTTCTTGTTTATGATGTGACATCGTACGCCTCCTTTGAAAACATCAAGACATGGGTCGAAGGTGAGAAAAAACACCACTAAATAATATACTAAATATTTATCGTTGCTGTTTTTAAAACAGGTTTTTTTTTTTTTGTATCAGACATGACAACTCGAGTTGTTATCATCATGTTTATTATCTGATTTAACTGTGGTGAAAATCTTAAAATTATGAACATTTAATTTTAAAAATTGAGTTACAAACTCTACCAAATTATCACCTTATGTTGAGACACGGATATATGTCTCTTAAAAACCTTAAATTGCATGTGAGGAGGCAGACTGGCAGACAATAAGCTAAATGTTGCAAGGCGCAGAACGGATTTTAATCTCAATCTAAAGTATTGTGTGATTTTGTGGTTCGATTACCTTTAAAAAAATCTCTCAAAATTTGTTAATTCACTTCGTAGAGGCTCGAAATTAATAAAGACCGTGAAGAAATTTGAAATACATTGACCAAATTACCTTCTCAGTATTCTTATCCTAACGTCTTTGTGTCGTTTCCTATTGCTTTTTTTTTTCCTAACATTGCTGTCTCAAAACTTATGTTGGATATCTATACTAATTGCATACTTCCCCGTCCTCAGAATTGAAGATGAATGTTGATAGTGATATAGGTAAGTTTACACACAGAACTATTTTAGTTAGGCCTATGTAGTTCGGAGTTTCTGTGGCCTGCGCAAAACCTGCGATTTCGAAGATGTCGTACATTCGCAAAATCTCTGAAATCTATTCGTATTATAGGCCTACTAAAAACTATCTACGCATGAATCTATTATTAAAGGTCTAGGCCTTTAATAAACAGAAACCTCTTTATGAGTAGGCCTATTTTGCGTGTAGTACTACACGGATCGTAGAATATTAACTTAAAATACGCCTCAAAATTGAAGTTTTTTTTTTGCAGTAAGGGAAATTTAGAAATTGGAGTGAAAATAAAGGAAAGGCCTAAAAATAGAAAATTATAGCATGGTAAACCATATAATATGTTTTTTTCACTTTCAAAAGTCGCAGATTGAGAATGACTTATCAATATGATTTACAGTCCTTTAAAAATATTTAAGATTTTTCTTGCCAAAATATCTTACATGGGTAGACTTTCACAAAGACTAGCAATTGTAATAAATAAGGATCTATGAAACTTTTTTTCAAATTTTCATTTCAGTTGAATGCTGATACCTTATTGAAATATTTGTTCAACAATTAATTCAACTATGTCAATATCTTGTTTTAACACTAGGCCCTACTGTATGTTTAAAACACATTTAGACAATGACAACAACTTACCAATAAAGAGCAGAGCAGACAACAGAAACTGGAATCGATTGTACGGCGACTAATTTCTATAAAACACCATGTAGGCCTAATGAATTCAACAAATATCATCATCTGTCTTTTTACTTGCATCAGTTCTTTTTATTGGGCGTATTTTAAAACAGCGCCACCAACATCTGAAGACTCGTAACGGGTAGCGATTTTTTTTTCCGTACGAAACATTTGCATGAAACTTCACTCGGGCCATCTCGGATTGACTCGAGTGAGTACGATACTAGGAACAAGATCAGACACTTCGCAATGTCGTGACGCTCGAGTTTTACTATTATTGCTCTTTCTATGTTTACCTACGGTAGGCCTATGAAATCTTACGGACTTATGGGATATACGTGTGTAACTAACTGTGACCTTCTTGGAAGTTATTAAATGTTAGTATATTATCTACAACAACAACAGCTAGTACCTCCTGTTATAAAGTGTAGATAGGTACAGTAATACCAATGGCTGGAGAGAAAGAGGCCTAACAAGCTGAGGTCTTACCTAGGCCCCTCCTTAAACTAGGCCTAGGGTCATAGGCTGACACCAACATACTGACATGGACTGAATTTTTTTTTGGGGGGGGGGGGGTGTGAAATAGGACAAAATTGAAGCATGAAATGAAAAATAGAGCGCATAAGAGAAATATTATTAAATAAATAATATACCATTCCGGTTATTGAACTTGTCCAAACTATCATTGTAATGTAATTAATGTTTAATAATAATAATAATAATAATAATAATAATCATCATCATCATCATTTCAGCATTAATTACCTTGGCCTAGGCCTTGTAATGAAGAACCACAGATACCGTACTATTTACTAGGCCTATAAATAATAATTA